AGCATTAAAATCAACCATTATATTGTTTTGCTGAAACTAAATTGCAGTTCACAACATGAATATGACTCCACAATGGCATATTGAGTGAGGCTTGTCTGGTATGCTATGGGATGACTCACTTCTCATCACTTTATTCTAACTACAAAAAAATTGTATTATGTACAGCATACCTGGTATAAAAGCATATAATTTACAAAGCCTGGCTCCTTCATTTCAAATCAACCCATCAACCCCAAACAAATAAAGTGGTACTGTCTGGTATCAACGTGTTTATAAATACAAATACAAATGGGAGCACTGATGTTGTATGCCAGGGTTCAGTTATAAGGTGGTCTTCTAGATGACCCAGAATATGTTCATGTTAATTTATTTTAGGTTATTTCCTTGGGAGATAGTCAAGTTACAGTTAGAGAAAGAAGGCTGAGTCTTCATAGAAGACATTGAAATTAAAGGGAATATAGTGGATAAGAAATTGTCATTCCAGAGATATATGAGCAAGAAGAGACAGTAATATGTGGTATCTAAGTGTACCACAGTAAAACACTATTAAGTTGGCCAAGACTACTGTGTCAAGTAGAAGGAATGAAATGAGCAAGCTACAAATTAAAAAGAGTTTATAGCACCTAATTAATATTATTGGTCTTGGTGCTAATATGAAACTAAAAATACTGAAGCATGGATATAAAAACACTATTTAAAATGATAGCACAGCCATCCTTAACATAGAAGTTTACTCCTCTAAATAAATACTGACCAAATATCTAAAAGACATATGCTGGATGGTCTTTCACATTGTTGCCCAGCTAGGATTCCCTTTCTGTTCTTGTTTGGGTGCCATCCTTGACTTCTAGTGGGAGTTGACAGCAATGTTTAAACAAGAGAGTAGAAATAATCAATTTTATTTGTTTTGTTATACAAGTGACTGTGTGGTGGTGTACACTATACTGTAAAAGTTATCAAGTGGAGTAAAGAGATACTTGCAGCAGAGCAATGAGTCAGGAGGCTGTTGTACAGTCCTATTTGTTGGGAACCTCAACTAAAGTGAAAATGGAGTATGGAGGCTTGATTTGAGATATTTTTCACATTTGGTGATTTCTGAATTAATGATTTGATGAGAAAATGAATACACAGTAACTAGTTAGGTAGGTATTGCAGTAATCCAGGTAAGAAGGGATGTGAACCTGAGCAAGGTAATGATATTAAGAATGAAAAAAAAAGAATGAATTCCATAGATATTAAGAAAGTAGAAGACTTAGGATGTTTTGGTGGTTCAGATGATTCAAGAGAGAGAGGAGCAAGAACGATCCTCAGGTTTTAAAAATTACCACAATTTTTCACAAAGGTGATTGACATTAAAAACCCTATATCTTTCTTAGCTTTTTTTCCATAAGCATCCCATTGGAATTGTCACTGGGTGAAGACATTTCAAGTAGTATTTGCCAGAGTAGACAACATAGAAACACATCACATATGGGGCTACACTCATAAAAATACTTTCTTCATTTAGGAGGGAAAATAATAGTATAACCCCCATAGGGGTTGGCAAACTATGTATGGCCCATAGGCCAAATGTGGAGCATTGCCTATATTTTTAATGGCCTATAACTAAGAATGGTGTTGGCATTTTTAATAGTGAAAAATAATTTAAAGAAAAATAATTTTAATGATACATTAAATGATATAAAATTCAAATATCAATGACTACAAATAAAAGTTCTACTGGAACACATCCATGCTCATTTGTGTACATACAGTGTATACAGACATTTTATGGCTGCTTTGAGGCTACAAGTTCAGACTTAAATATTTGTATCAGAGGCCTTATAGCCCTCAGAGCCTAAAATATCTACTACCTGTCCTGTGTAGAGAAAGTCGCTGACTCTTGGTCTACTATGAGCCAGGTACTGTGCTAGGGCTTTCACAGCATGTCTCCTTTAATTTTGTCAAATCATTTAGTGGTGTATTAGGTTATAAAGAACTGGAGAAATTAGCTAATTGAGAACAGTAACAGGTTTTATTTGTAAAATATTCCAATTTTTAGGCAAAGGTGATGTATCACCTTCATTTATTCTTTAGGATCGTATCCTTTCCCTGCTTAAACACTGCTATTCAATTCACATGCTTACAGTACTAAAGATAATTTTCAGAATATAAAACCCTTTGCAAATATAACCTTTTAGTCACATCTCTTTCCCCCACCCATCACCACTGAATTTCTCACTGTTCTCCCATTTTGTGCAGACACAAGCTGAAAGTGACACACTCAAGAGATATTTCATGTTCATTTCATTTAGGTCCCTAGCCTACCTTTCCCTTCTATGCCTTTCTTCATTCTTCTTTACTTTCTTCATCGGATTGTCTACCATTATGAAATATAAAAGGAATTTAAGGGAAGGAGGGAGGGAAACTGCAAAACATAACCAGGTTTTTTTGGTGGGGAGACATGCCTCTTACCACTGTGGACGGCCTAGTTGGTCAAATCCTAGAGAGTAGGGCCGAATTTGTTTGTTTGTTTGGTCGTTCAACTTGTATTAGAGGTTCAGTGAATTGCCTTTAAGTCATTGATTTTTCCCCTTCCCCCTCTTCCTCTCCCTTGCGACCTGGAAAACAGAAAATCTTCCCACGGAAACTCCTCAGGGGCGCCCCAAGATCCAAGCTTCCTTACAGGGACTCGCCCGCGCTGCATCCCTCCCCGCCACCCACCACCCACTGCAAGTCCGTGGCGTCTCCAAGCACAAACCCAGCGCGGGCTTCTTGATCTCCGGGGCGCGCGCCCGCGCGCGCGCTCTCTCCATTTGGCCCCCTACCCTGCAGCAAGGGCAGCGTGACGTAATGCAACCTCAGCATGTCGGCCGCGATATAAAGGACAAGGCGGCGCGCCTCCCAGACGCAGAGTAGCTTGTGATTGGCTCGGGCTGCGGAACCTCGGAAACCCGAATGTGAGGACCTTACAGATCCACGGCTGCCGACCCCCGCAGAAATCTGGAGCGCGGTCAGAATCCAACTGGCGGCGGCAGTGGCAGCAGTGGCTGCAGGTAAGGAGACTCCTGGAGAGAAAGTGGAGGGATTTGGGTGTGCTGCGCTTAGTGTCGCCAGTGTGAGAGGAGAGGCTCACACCCAGCCTGTAGTATAGGGCGTAGGGAACAATGGAAGTGGCGTCTAGTCCCTAAGCTTTGCCTCCTCCTTGGTCTGACAGTTTTTCTTCCTAGCCGCAGCTGGTGACTGGAGGAATTGAGGGAAGTGGAGTGTTTTCCCCCCTCAGGCAACCTCTCCTTCCCCTAGGCCAGAACCCCTAGGGGCAAGAGCCGTCGTTGAGACCGTCGGTGGTTTAGGGTGACGGGAAAATGGCGGAAAACAAAACGGTGAATTGAAGAATGCGGCGTCGCCCTAGCATTTTCTCTTGGCGACACCCCCCTAATATTCCTTTCATTCGCCCCTACTTCTCTATCCCCCGCCTGCTGCTTATGGTAACCTTGGAATGCATGAGGGATGGCGGCATTTGGGAGGAGGTGGCATCTAATCGGCGTTTTAGGGGGTAGGGAGCAGTCAGAGCCCGGGGGGGGGGCGGGTGTGTGCGGCAGTTGTCGCCTCCACTAAAACACCACCATTTTGGTTCCCAGCTGTCTCCCATGTAGCGGGGCTGGGAGAGCGGGAGGAGGATGAGGCGTTGGGCAGCACAGCGTGGGTAGCAGCGGTGGCGACCGCTGCACCAAGTGAGAGGAGGGAGGAGGGGAAAGGGTATTCTTGTTGCTTCGCTTTCTGCCTTTCCACGGAGAAGGTTCTCTTGTTTGGCTTAAGATCCAGTCATATGGGTAATATATGAAGGCACGTGTGTGCGTTCTGCTCGAAATGATTGAAACTTGGCATGGTTGTGGGAAAGGGAGACTTATGCGGGAAGCGGGTTGCGTCCAAAGCTGCAATACTGCTACTTGTCAGGGCTCCTTTGTCTCCTATCTCTGCAAATACTACTTTCGCATTCTCTTGCTCTGTTGCCTTAATATTTCTCATCTACCTCCCACCCTATTTACATCATGAAGAAGCTAGGTCCTGAATGAGCTGTTTGGAGAAGACAGATGAAAGTAAAATGTTTTTTTGTTGTTGTTTGCTTTGTGATTTCTGTACCCCGTACATTGATAGAAAGATGTTTACTTGAAGCGTACTTAGTGGTTATCTCCATTCAGTAAGGATGTGAGATATACTCTTGAGAATACTGAGAAGCCCAGCTATCTATTGGCTATTCAATACTTAACACACTGCTGTTCTCATACCTCATTTATTATTGATCTTATTTAAACTTCATATAAGGAGAAAAGTGCGCCAATATATTTATTTATTTATTCATACAGTGTGATACTCCCTTATAGTAGTTGCACTATGTGTTAAAATTTTTACACTTCATTGAGCGCTAGTGCAGATTTTTCTCTATTGATTTGGCAAGGATAAAGCTTGCCCTTGGTTGGTTCTCTTTCACTTTCCAAAATGAGATTTAGCTAGTGATTTTTAAATGTGCTTTAGAGAAGATTTTGTTTAACGGAGTGGTGGAATTCTAAGTGTAATAATGTTGCTTATATCGTAGTAGGTAGTTGTTTCTGTTGGAATCCCTTCGGATGCTTTTTAGATGAATGGATTTGAGCACTTAAGCTCTTCTCAACCTCACCCTGCACGTTAAAGTGTAAAGAAAATCCTTAAGTGTGTAAGAGATTTTGTTTAAAATGTTTTAAAATGTCTAATTTTGAATGTATTTTTACAATAGGTAAAGAGAACTTTTTTCCAAAGAAAATAACATAGGTCAGAAGGAAAAATAACAAAAACAAATTGCTGCAGATTTTACTTTACAATATGTAAGAAAATCTACAATTTCTTCAAGACAGTCATATTAAGGTGATTAACAAATTACTGTTTTATTTAATAATTAAACAGAATTAAGTGCTTAAAACATTTTAAGGCATTTGTAATTTGATTACTTATGTAAAGCAAGCAATTATTCTAATTAAAGTTGAAATAGTACACTGTTTTAAATGTTGAAAATAAGTCCTTATGGCATTTTGATTTATCTCTGTGAACATAGGGGTAGTCTATTTTGAACTGTCTTGACCTCTGATGGTTTCATTTTGGAGGCAGGGAACAATGTGGTATTTGAAAAAAAAAATACAGCCAAGAATTTCTAAAAATTTGTAATTTTGCTCATACATAAAATAATTTTATTTAATCATTGTATACACAGAAAATACACCTATTGCTGTAGGATTTTTATATACATGATTCAAATGTTATACTCTCCTGCCTCTTGTACACCTGTAGAACTTTAAGGCAAGGAAAAAAATCTTAGTGATCTCCTTACTTAAGGATAAATTAAGGTGTTTTACATGGCAGCTTTCTAAAACTTTAACGATATAACCTCATCTTTGTGCAATATAACCCAATTTATTAAACACTCCGAAATAAAAATGAGACAAATTTTTTATAGAATTGATACTTTTTGGTGATACTTAGAATTTTATGTTTGAAAGGGAAATACACATATGTAATTATAAGGAATATGCTTAGTGATAGTATTTGCCATTAGGTTCCAAGTCTGATTATCTTAAATATAGGATACATCACTTGAAATGAAATGGAATCCTTGCTTTCAGAACTAGCTTAAAGCTAGTGTGACTTTATTAATCATTAAGGAAGAAAATCAATTGTACATTTATAAGTAAATGATATTCTGAAAGGAACAATTTGCTAAATGTTTGTATGTGATTGATCTTATCTCTACCATATTTAGGAAGCAGTCATGTTTCTTGAGTCCTCAAAACTATGAGACAAGAGACTGTAGTAGAGTGAGGCCAGAAGTCCTTACTGGCTCAAAGAACTCGAGGGAAACTGGGATAAAACATTTTACATTATAAGTAGAACCCCGGGAGCCAGAGGTGAAACACAAGTTTATCTGCAGAGCTCCGCTGCAGGGCTGAGCTGGGTCTGGAAGAAATGGATGAGAGCCACTGGATGAAATTCACTAATACTAGACACCTGAGTCTTCTAGTAATGTATAAATATCCCAACTATTGTCTGTTGTCATCATGTTCTTTTTTTTCCTTTTTCTTCTTTTATAACCTACATTTTAATTGGAACATTAGTGCTACAGTTTTGTTCTTTTGCTCGCTTCTATCACTTCCCCTGTGGCTTGTCACCCTTACTGTGTCTTATTCTCCATTATCTTTGATTTATTTCCTTTCACGTAGCCCTTCCTTTACTTATTCTTCTCACATAAAGCATCTAATCAAGGTTTTTATTTTCCTTTGTGATGAGATTTGCACACCTAGTTCTAAGGCCTATTTTCCATTGCATTTTTTTTCTCACAACAACTGACTTTCGCTTAAACATATTTAAACTCTTTTAAAACCATTTTTTTTACAGATATCTGTGAATGAACTTTGCTAAGTATGGAATCAGGTGGTGGAAGTCTTGGATTGCACACATCAGACTGTAGAATGGCCCATACCATGATTATGCAGGATTTTGGTAAAGCATTTTCTTTGTTGTATTTTTTCTTTCTTTTTTAAAAGTCAGAGCATACTAAATATCAAAACTATATTGAAGAAGGGGAGAATTTATGAAATTTGTTCTTTTGCTAGGAAATTATTTGTAGAGCTCATTTTCTTAAAGATTAAAGCTATGTGGGATCCCTGGGTGGCGCAGCAGTTTAGCGCCTGACTTTAGCCCAGGGCACGATCCTGGAGACCCGGGATCGAATCCCACGTCCGGCTCCCGGTGCATGGAACCTGCTTCTCCCTCTGCCTATGTCTCTGCCTCTCTCTCTCTGTGTGTGACTATCATAAATAAATTTAAAAAAATTAAAAAAAAAGATTAAAGCTATGTGACAGTAGTCTACTTAAAATCATTCTTAAAATTTTGTGCAGGGCACCTGGGTGGCTCAGCCAGTGTCTACCTTCAGCTCAAATCATGATCCCAGAACTTTGGAATTTAGCCCTGAATCAGGCTCCCTGTTCAGTGGGGAGCCTGCTTCTCCCTCTCTCTCTGCCATTTCCCCTGCTTGTGTACTCTTGCTCTTTCTGTCAAATAAATAAATCAAATCTTTAAAAAAATTTGTGGAAATGTTGAAGAAAGGAAACTTGGAATATAGTGGTAATGTGGCATTGAAAATGAAAAAAAACTCAGCTTAGATAAATAACAACATCAATTCTTGAATGTAGGAAATATTAAATTGTCTTTCTCAAATACATTTTAAATTGTATTTTTGATAAAACTGGAAAAGGACCTACTTCAGTCATTACAAAGAAGTTAGATGCTTATGTAGTGAGATATTGGAAAACCATGCATTAGGTGATTAATTATATTCTGATGAAATATCTTTAGAAAGTTGTTTCTAATAACATTACATCTTTCTTTTTTTTTAAAGAAAAGATTCCCTACTTTTGTGGCTAAGTTTTTCAGTAGCCTCTTAACAGTAGTTGTTTTGCTGAAGATGTTAAGACTCTATCACAGCCAACAAAGAAACTGAATTTGGTCAGGGTCAATCTGAATTATAGAAGAGATTGAGGTATCTGAAGTATAAGAGGCAGGAATAAGGTGGTAAGAATTGAAGAAAAGTGGAGTAAGAGTAGAAAAAATGAATAGTAAACTGGAATAAAAAGTAAACAGAAAATAAGGTATTATGGAATTGTCAAAGATGATATTAGGAATGGATGATCAAAGCTAATAATTAAGAAAATTATTAGAATTAAGAAAATGGTATTACTGTTTTCACATTAATGTTAATATATTATTTTGTCCCTTGTTGTAAAGGCTACAGTATTGAGAGTCAGAAGAACTGGATTCTAGTCTTGGCAGTCATATTAAACTTGGGCAAATTACTTTATTCACTTCTGTGAGGGGATTGGACTAGATAACCCTAGATACCCTAGATAACTGTCCTCTCCAGTTCTATGATTTCTTGACACTTCTATCTGATGAATAAAGATGTGGTGCATAAATCAAGATTAAATGTGGTGGAGGTTGAGATGACTATGTAGTTAATTGATTAAACTGAAAGGAAGCATTGATTCATTCTGCTAAATGAGTCAGAAGTCCATTGTGTTGATTATGGATAACTTAGAAGTGATTTTGAGTGAAAAAAGTACGTGAATAAATTCTAGAAGAAGGACAAAGAACTGAAGAGTAAAGATTTCACAAAGAATTTTGTGAATTCTTTGCTAGAGATAGTTTTTAAAATACTGGAACACTTGAACTTCAGTATAGTAAAATAAGTTTTGGTTGAAATGTCACCTTTAATTTTTTGCGTTTTAAAAAGGTTTTAGAAATGGAAGAAATACAGCATTTTCTCCATATGATACAAAATTTAATCTAACCTGTAGCATTTGGTGAAGTGACAGACTTCCTTCACTCCTGAAGAAGTTGACTATTAGCAAGTAAAACCTGATTCCTTTCTAAGATTAAAAAAAAAATGTCCCTTTAGTGCTGGTGAATGTTTACTTGGTATTCCTCTTACCTTCCTTTTCATTGTTCCTCCTTGATGTCTTAAGGTTTAATCAATCCCTTATTACATCTAATACTTTACTTCCTTTTAGTTCCTAGGGAAGTAGAACATGCATATTGAAATATATTATGCACATTCTTTTTTCTAATTTTTTATTGAGATAATAATTTTTAAAAATTCTTTTATTACTCTTTTTTAACAAACGGCCCCAGGGATAGAGGACCAGGGGAGGGGGGTAGAGGGGAAGTGAGGCCCCAGAGATAATAATTCATATCATACAATTTACCCATTTTAAAGAATACAATTCAGTAGTTTTAGTATACTCACAGAGTTGTGCAAACATCACTGCTACCTAATTTTAGAACATCTTGTCATTGGAAAAATAAAACCTAATACTCATTAGCAGTCACCCCCACCCCTACTCCAGACCTAGGCAACCTCTAATATTTCTATCTATGGATATACCTATCCCAGACATTTCATATAAATAGAACTATACCATATGTGACCTTTTGTGTCTAGCTTCTTTCACTTAGCATCGTTTTCAAGTTTCATCAATATTGTAGCCTGTATCAGTTTCTCTTTAAATTTCTGCAAACATCAAAAGTTATATATTTGCAATCCCATAAACTAATGATATTTGTGAAACAGAGTCTGGCATACACAGGTAGAGCTAGCCAAGTAAGTATACTATGCATTACAGGATCTCTAAATTCTATAATGTTCTTGGTGGGGATAGGATGGCTACTATGTTAAGAATTTGAAATGTTAATTTAATATAAAAATTCATTAGACCAGTTTCTTTTGAAAGATAATTGAGATTTTAAAAAAAATTAAAGATTTTATTCATTTGAGAGATAGTGCAAGAGAGTGAGCATGAGCAGGGGGAGAGGCAGGGGGAGAGGGAGAAGCAGATTCCCCCTGCTGAGCAGGGAGCCAGGCCACCTGACTGGATCTCAGGATTGAGCAGAAGGCAGACGCTTAAGTGACTGAGCCACTCAAGCACCCCTGAGATTTAAAAATTTACATGATTTATGTACTGACTTTGCTTGTGTCTCAGTAAAATGGTTATCCTTGGAATTTGTGGCATTGAATTTAATAGTTAAGACTTAATTGATGCAAAAAGTCTATGTTGTTCTGTGACTTAAATAGCAAAACAGCCTTAGATAGTGGCCCAAAATAGACCCAACAAATACCAAATTTTATCCTATACCTCCTGTGAAATTCCAGGTATTTACATTTAAATGAAATAACTCTAGTAAAATGAGAAATGCTTGAAATGATGACTTATTTCTTACTGTTATTTGGTTATGTAATTGCTTTCACACTTTTTAAAGATGATTTCTCACCATTTATAATTTGTTACCTAGTCAGATAAATTGTTAATGCCATTTAATGCTGCTTATTAAATGCTTTAAAATTTAATTGAGTAAAAAAAAAAGAAAAAAATAAAATTTAATTGAGTGATTATGTGATAGATCTTCTTACTCATTTTTTTAAAGAGAGAGAGAAAGTGCACACAAGTTAGGGTAGGGAGAGGGAGAAGGAGAAAGAATCTTAAGGAGGCTCCATGCCCAGTGTGGAACCCAATGTGGGGCCCCGTCTCAAAACCCTGAGATCATGACCTGAGCCAAAATCAAGTCAGTTGCTTAGCCAACTGAGCCTCCCAGACACTCCAGATTTTTTACCCTTTGTTTCTCAAACTATTCCTTTAATGGTGATTCACTTGGTTAACCTTATAAATTTCTTTAAAAAATAGTCTCTATAGTAAGTAAATTCTATTCTCCTCCTTTATACTGGTAGAAAAAAGCCAGCCTAGAGTTAAGCAGTAAGTTCAGCCCTCAGCTTGAACCTTGGGCAAGCTTATTTAACTTCCTTAAACCACAGTTCCTACATATTTTTTATAGTTCCTTCATATTTAAAAAAGGAGATAATAACACATTATACAGCTGTTCTGAGGCTTAAATGAGATAATATATGTAAAAATATTAGTAGGTTGCTTGGTGCATAGATAGTGCTCAATAAATATAGCTAGTGTGTTGTTAAATAAGTGACTGGAAATTCAGTGGATCTAGTAGATGAGCTGATAAGAGGAAAAAGCAAAATTTAATGAGACGTCTTAGATCTTGGTCTTAGTGAACTGCCAGCACCCTATGGAGAACCTGTCAATTCTTGGTCTAGGATACTTGATATTATTATTTAATTCAGCATAAACAAGCATATTTGGATTTATTTTAGTTTAGATTTGATTTATTTTGACCTGTAAGTTTCTACTAGAGTAGAGGCAGAATCCTCCTAGCCAGGTTAATCTGAATTTAGGCCAGCACCAAGTGTTATTCTATCCTTCCATCATTCCATAATGTCTATTCTCAAGAACCACACTAACCTCCAGAATTTTCCATATTTTAAGTCTGACTTGTAGAAGGATTTTATAAACTATTAATTTTATTGTTTATATACATAGAATTCCAATACTGTGAGTTTTATAGATTTAATCTTTAATTTGTCCTTGCTAAAATTTGCATTTCTTGTCTGGCTGAATGCTTAATTTGAATCTTCACCAACTCCCCATCTCCAAAATGGTCAGTGGAGAAACAAGTGAATAGGAAGGACTTATTCTATATATATTCCCTTTATCTACAAGATTTTCAAGATTGAGGCTATGTCCTTTTGGGGTAATATGATGGGTTAGGTAAGAGTTTGAGAATACTGAGAACAATACGAAAGGATTGAAAAGAAGATAATTCTGAAAGGTAGCTTTCCCTTCTTGCCTTATCTTTTAATGGATAAGAATATTAGTAGTGTCCACTGGTCTCCACTCTAACTTGTTAACTAACTTTTGTAATGAATTGGTTAATAACAATGAACACTGTGTAACAAATGGCACTCTTTCGGGTATGATTTTATAGAAAGTGATCCTTATGTGGAGAAGGCTTTGTATTAGATTATTTAATATAGATAAGAGATAATTTTGTTATAATCTGTTCCATAAACTCTTATCACTTGTTTCTTGTACACTTCAGTGAGGCAGAATTTGAATTCCTCATGAAAGGATTTTTGCACTTTTACATTTATAAAGGGAATAGGAGTTAGTGTTTACCATGCTACTCAAAGAAAAAAAAACAACATTGTTTAAAGCTTTGTTCCTGCAGATTTACTAGTTTAGAATTTAGTGCAATTTAGAGATATGAATTTTATCAAACCAAATCTTTGTCTAAAATCAGGTGTTTTTCCCCCCAAAAATCAGGTGTTAAAAGATGCTTTCCACTTTTATAAGAATATAATAATTCTTATAAAATAAAGAAGTTTAGGGACTTTCATGTTTATAAATGCATATTTTATAATGTATCCACCTGTCATATTTTACTAACTTAATTAAACATATTAGTACCCATTTATATTTGTGTTTTTTTAATTTTAATTTTTTGAAATACAAGACTCATAGGAAGTAGAAAAAAATAGTACATAGAGTCCCATGTCGCCTGTACTGCTCTTCTTCCAATGGTGACATCTTCTATAACTGTAGTACAATATAAAAACTAGGAAGTTAACATTGTTATATTACTGTTAACTAGACTAAAGACCTCCTTAAGTTTTCACCATTGTTTTTACATATATTCTGTGAGTATATATAGTTCTGTGCAATTTTATCCTGATACAGATTTTTGTAAACACCCATCACAATAAAAATCTAAAATTATTCCATTACCCTATGTATGCTATGCCAACATCTTTACACACACACACACACACACACACACACACACACACACACCCCTACATTTTTTGTGTGTAAACATGTTTTAATATCTCTGGGAAAATACCCCAGAGTGTTATGGTTGGGTTGTATGGTAAATACATGTTTAGTTTTGTAAGAAAGTGCCATATATTTTCCCGTGGCACTGGGGTGGCTGATACCATTTTACATTCCTGCTAGCAATGTATGAGAGATTGTCTTTGTATCTTCACCAACCTATGGTGTTTTTTTTTAATTTTAGTTCTTCTGATACAGTAATATCTCATTGTGGCATTTATGTTTTACTTGAAAATAAAGTGCATTATTTTTAAGGTCTTAATTTAGATTTTACTAACACTGTTTTCACCCACCTCCACCCCAGTGCCCGGTTGGTGCTATTTTGTTTGTTTTTTTTAATTTTTATTTTTTTATTTATTTATGATAGTCACACATACACACACACACACAGAGAGAGAGAGAGAGAGAGAGGCAGAGACACAGGCAGAGGGAGAAGCAGGCTCCATGCACCAGGAGCCCGACGTGGGACTCGATCCCAGGCCTCCAGGATCGTGCCCTGGGCCAAAGGCAGGCGCTAAACCGCTGCATCACCCAGGGATCCCCTGTTTGTTTATTTTTCACTTTTATGTAAGCTCTATGCCCAACGTGGGGCTTGAGTTCACAACCCCAGGATTAAGAGTCACGTGCTCTACCGACAGAGCCAACCAGGTGCCCCTGGTGATGGTTTTTGCTTTTTTAAAAAAAAAATATTTTATTTATTTATTCATGAGAGACACACAGAGAGTGAGGCAGAGACATAGGCAGAGGGAGAAGCAGGCTCCATGCAGGGAGCCCGATGTGGGACTGGATCCCGGAACACCCAGATCACACCCTGAACCTAAGGCAGATACTCAACCGCTGAGACACCCAGGCGTCCCAGGTGGTGATTTTTATTGCAGTAAGTTGTCAGTGGTTTTTTAAAAATGATAGTGTGGCAAGAACTATTTCATATTTTTAAAATATTTTATGTCATCTGGTACATTAAATATATTACTGTTAATTTAATAAAATAACTTTACTTTTTTTGGATAATTGTTTGTATTATAGTGGCTGGAATGGCTGGTACTGCACATATCGATGGAGACCATATTGTTGTTTCAGTTCCTGAGGCTGTATTAGTTTCCGATGTTGTCACAGATGATGGGATAACCCTTGATCATGGCCTTGCAGCTGAAGTTGTTCATGGACCCGATATCATCACTGAGACTGATGTAGTAACAGAAGGTGTAATTGTTCCTGAAGCTGTACTTGAAGCTGATGTTGCTATTGAAGACGATTTAGAGGAAGATGATAGTGATCATATATTGACTTCTGAGCTAATTACAGAAACTGTTAGAGTACCTGAGCAGGTGTTTGTGGCTGACCTTGTTACTGGTCCTGATGGACACTTAGAACATGTGGTCCAAGATTGTGTTTCAGGAGTTGACTCTCCCACAATGGTATCAGAGGAGGTTCTTGTAACTAATTCAGATACAGAAACTGTGATTCAAGCAGCTGGTGGTGTTCCTGGTTCTTCAGTTACTATTAAAACCGAAGATGATGATGATGATGATGATGATGATGATGATGTCAAGAGCACTTCTGAAGACTACTTAATGATATCTTGTAAGTGAAACAAAAGTACAAAATTACTTGGGAGATTGACTTATATGTAAACTTAAAAGGTTTTCTGGGATAGGGGAACTATTCAATAAAAATCATGGGGATAATCTTTTGAAAAATATTTTTTTTCAAAGCTGTATTGTTGAGATGCTTTTTTGACATTGCTCATATTTTTAATTTACTCAATGAAAATTCATACCCAAAATTAAACAAAATAATGTAATGTAATTAATACCTTAGAGCAGAAAGGAAGGTTCAACAAGAACATTAACTGACAATACTTTTAATGATAAATATATATATTTCAGAGTGGGAAGTTTATGTAGCCACTGCTTTCTTCTTAATATAGCAGGTACTGGAGTTGTCAGTTCAGTTTTGCTTAGGAATTTAAGCATAATATATTAGGAAATGTGTAATTAATTTTTATTAAATACTTGAAAAGGAAATCTTAAACTCAGATTGTGCTCTGCAGTTCTCCCTGTGTTTATTTTCTGTTTGTCTAAACAGCGTGTGTATATTCTGAGCAAAAACACTTTAATGTGTTTATTTCAGATTGCTTTATGATGATGTCTATAAGACATTCTATCTGAAGGAGGAAGATAGAAGTATCTTGTTCTCATTTTAAGTGGTGGGTTTGCCTGAACAGCAACGATAATAAAATTCTCATGATGAGTTATTGATGGAGCTTGAGGAAGAAGTGGGTCTATTCTTTATAAAATTTGAAGGGATCATGCTGGAAGTAATAAAGATCAGATAAAAACTCCACTTTTTCATGGTGCATTTTTGTTCTTTTCTTTTTAAAATAAAAAAGGATTGATTGGGAAGTACATCAACAGGTAGAGTATATGTATATGTATATAAAGTGATTGTTATATATGTTATCAGTGAATTTAAAACTAAAAAATAAGATTAATTTGTAAATATGATTCTGAAGTCTAGCATGTTAACTTTTTTCCCTCTGTAACCACTTTTGAATATTTACATTTCTTCTAAGGGAATGAGTTAAGCCACTAAAATACTGGCTGCAGATGTTATTACCTTTTTTTAAAATTGATGTCCATTACTAAAGCAATTCCATATTTAGATCTTAACCTGATGTTAAAAAAACTGTGGTTATTATTATATAAAATAATATGACAATAGTTGGTAGCCTTTCTGTGTATCAAAATAACATTGTGCCTTTAAAAAAGTACCTGTTGAATCAAACTGTTTGATATTAGTTTAAAATTTGACATTATGTGTTTTGAGAATTGTCAAACCTTAAAATATCTTCTATGATTTGATTCTGCAAAAGATTTTTTAAAAAAAGAATTTCTAGAATATTTTAATTTACGATATTTATATTGCCATATGTGTCAAATGCAAAGACTTCTGTCCTACTGTAATAGGAGTAAACTGAAGATTATAAAGAACATGTATTGCTTGAATAATACTGGGACTGCTGTGGGATCATTTTAGGATAAATTTAGACTGGGAATTAACTCCTTAATCATTAGTAAAGAAACAGCAATATATTTTTTTAAAAATCTATTTAAAACTTAAGCAGTTTTTTATTGTGGAAAGTGGAATATACAAAAACTAAATATTTTTTTATATCACCCATATTCCCACCACCCATATCCTTCCTTGACCATTTTTGTAATATTTATTATACCCAAATTGGAATTACTCTTTTTAAAAAAAGTTATTTATTCATTCATGAGAGATACAGAGAGAGAGGCAGAGACATAGGCAGAGGGAGAAGCAGGCTCCCTGCAGTGAGGCTTATACTGGACTCCATCCCCAGACCCTGGGATCATGCCCTGAGCCAAAGGCAGATGTTCAACCATTGGGCCACCCAGGCATCCCTGAATTAGTTACTTTTTACCAGTGTAATTAGTTACTTTTTACCATTTTCATTTATTTTATTTTATTCTTTTTTGATTTAGTCTTCCCCTTTTTTTCCTTCATAATTTGCACTTCATTTTCTTTACCTCTTGGTTTATCTTGGCCATTGAATCTTACAGGAGTTAAGAGAATAAATTGCCTTCAAGGCCTCAATGTTAATTTAAAAAGCCTCTTTTCTGTTTATTTTTCTCAGGATAGAGATTTTCAGAGTATCTAAGAAATAAAGTTGAGGACTTAAAACAGGCCATTGTCTTGTTCCTGAGTCCCTAAGTATTCCTATAAGGAAATCTTATCAGTAGCTGAGTTTTAGAACTAGGGAGTTTTGTCTTCTCTCATATCTAAGGGGTGTCTGAGGTTTCTCTCCTTTCAGGCTAAATGTCACAAATTATTTATCTTAGCAGTTGGTTAAACTTTCCCACTTGTGCTTAAGTAACTTGGAAATTAATATAGAATAACTGTATCTGTCTAAAATTATCGTAGGTGTGCTCTTCTTTAAAAATATCTAACATCTCTAAGACATTTATGGGTGATGATTTCCTTTATAAAAGCTGCACTGGAAGAGGGAAGTTCCATTAAATAATGAACCAATATAATGCATTCAAATTGTTTTTTACCTATAAAATCAGTTTATATTTCTTTTGGGAACATAATCTTATAGAAAGCAAAATGTCTTGGTAGGGTCATTATGGGAGATCTCATCAAACCTTACCAATTTCAAGGGTAAAAAAAGAAAAGTTAATATCTGTATTTTTTTTAATATAATGGCTTTATTGAAGTATGATTCACATGCCATAAAATACACTGTTTAAAGCATGCAGTGATTTTTAATATATTCACAGCATTGTATAACGATCACCACAATCCATTTTAGAATGTTTTCTTCACTCCAAAAAGAAACCCCATGCCCTTTAGCAGTCACCTCCCCACATACCACTTCCCCTTCCTGACAACCACTAATCCAATTTCTGTCTCTATAGATTTGCCTATTCTTAACATTTCATATAAATGGAATCATATAATTCGTGGCCCTTTGTGTTTGGCTTGTTTCACTTAGCATAATGCTTTCAAGGATTATCCATATTGTAGCATGTGTCATGTGTCAGTACTTCATTCCTTTTCATTACTAATATTTCATTATAAGGATATACATTTTATTTATCCATTCATCGGTTGATGGGCATTTGGGTTGTTTCTACTTTTTGGCTATTATGAATAATGCTATGAAGATTCATGTACAAGATTTTGTGCAAATATTTTCAGATCTCTTGGGTATACACCTGGGAGTAGAGCATCTTTGCAATCTAAATATTACTAACTTCTGTTTGTTTCAGTGCTGTGAAATACAGATCCTTTACATATTGCCTGACCCCATCTCTGTGATTCATCAATATACTCTATACTGATGATAACATATCTACCATATAATTTTGGTAGATGTAACATAAAAGTGGTACAGTAAAAAGCCTACTCAGCTTTTAAAAGGAATATTGAATTTGTAATCAGATTGTGCTATTGAGCTATATAAAAGAATATTGTACATTGGCAAACTTGCCAACAATGCATCTTACTGTTTTATGTTACATTTAGCACCAGTAAACTCTGTGATGTGTATACCATTGCCTGCTGTTACTGTCTGGAATGTCATGTGAGTTTAGAAACCACACTGTGGGACTTGGATATTGCAAACCTTACAACAAGCTAAAAAGTTAAGCCTTAATTTAGAGTATTTTGAGTATTATATGCATTAAGAAGATCTTTGAGGATCTATTTCTAAAATTACTTAGTTGCCTATTAAGTCTTTGTTAACTTTATACTTTCTATAACAAGGAATATAGAAAAAATCTTGGTTAAGTTGATGATTTATCTCTTAAAACTGCACACTAACACCCTTAATAACGTTATCATCTTCCATGAATTAAAATGCAAAACCAGTTTGGTTACTTAATACATCTCAAAAATGTTCATTCTGAAGAATCTAAGTAGAAAATAATGGATACCTTAAACTATGGGCGTTAAGGCATGGTATAAATGGAATCGGGATAGCAACAGTTATTTCAGTACTTAAAGTAAAAGCTATGATACCAAATTATTGAGAAGTGACCAAAAATGTGTATTTCATTTCATGAGCTTTAATTTTATGAATTATAGCTTTAATTCAGTTTGCTACAGAAGGAACTATGATCACTTTAAACCTTTCAATTATAATAAAGCAGTATTTATCCAATGAGAGTATTTTCAGTATTTTATTAATTTACTGTAAGTTATTCCAACTTAAATTCGTGTTTTGGACACTTTTTGAGGTTTTTGTATATCCTATGTCTTTATTTTCAAGAATGGGAAAACACTTTCTGAAAGCCTAGCTTTCATCTTTTAATACTTTCTGTGATGTCATTAATTCAACATATTTTAAAAGGGAAGCTATTAAATCAACACTATCAGATACTTCATCTTTTTTTCTTTCATTTTAATCTGTCCCATTGTCAAAAGGAATTTTTCCAAAAATCATAGTAATAGAATTAGGGGCTATGATGGAATTAAAATATTTAATCTATTTATTTTGATCATTTAGGTCCTTTCATAGTCTATTTGAACTATTAAATAGTATAGAATCACTTATATTTTATCAAAAAGTTAAAGTAGCTTTGCATTGTAAAAAGAATAGCTGAAACTTTCTGTCTTTCACCATTTTGAAAGGCTAAAAGAATGTTTTTGAATTTGTATATATCAGATTTGAAACTGAGGTAAGGAAAAAAAAGAAAAAAAAAGAAACTGAGGTAAGGGAAATCTAGACTTTGACTTATTTAGATCTCATTTTCTAAGAGTACTGAATTAATACCTTTTTAATGTCACTTTATTCATTTTTCAGAGGATCTAGAATTGTTTAGATATAGTCAGAAGCTTTAAGATTTTATGTTTCATGTATGATACCATGATATACATAATAAGAAGGAGCAAATTTTCAATTATATTACATTTCAGTTTTCATATGTACAAGCATTGAAATAAAAAATGGTAGGCATATAATATTTGGGGGAATATATTGTTTAACATTTATGGTCAAAGAACAAAGTTTATTAATATATATTTATTCCATAGATTGTGCATTGTATTCATGTGAAAATAAATGTTATTCTTAAAGACTGTAGAGCAGAGAATAAAAATTTTAAGTATATACTTAAAACGTAAGCAATATTTTCAAATATTGTTGCTTTACCTTTATGATTTTGGAGTCTAGCATATGTAAGTAAATATAGAAGTATGCAAAATTACTGGTTTCAAGTTGTCTTCCATTGACTCAACAGAAATTAAAAGTATTATGATTTTATTTTTATAATTTCTGAAAAGCCTTTTTTATAAAATAATTCAGCTGTTTTCTGTTTCCTCTTTTTCAATTCTAGATTTCATATGCTAATTGGTTTTAGAAATACTGATATTAATTTGGGAATTACTGTTTATATGAACTTATTTTATGAGTACTATGTGTTTTATGTTCTGATTTTTCTGATATTAATTTTGATGTTAGAATTTAACTTAAAATGTTTAATGTAACGGAAGATAATTTAATCATTTCCCAAACCATTTTAATTAAAGCTCTATGATTATTAAGTATTTCATATATAAATTAAAATCTCTGAATAAGTTTTTATATAGTTATGATCATGTAATATATCTGATCTCATATAGTGTTTTTTTCATGAAATGTACCACTTTTGGTGGTTGCATAATAAGTCATTAAGTCAATATAGTGGATAGGTGATTAACACATTCATGTTGCACTTATGCTTAACATCCATTAAATGTCAATTGTACTTTTTGACTAAAATATTTTCTTCTTTATATTTTACAGTGGATGATGTTGGGGAAAAATTAGAACATATGGGGAACACACCATTAAAAATCGGCAGTGATGGTTCACAGGAAGATGTTAAAGAAGATGCATTTGGTTCAGAAGTAATAAAAGTGTATATATTTAAAGCTGAGGCTGAAGATGATGTTGAAATAGGTACAAAGACTAATCTTAATTTATTGCTATGATAGGAATTAAAACTACTTCTTATCTTTTCTGGCAACTATTCTGAAATTGTCTTTAAAGTGCAGATTTTTTTATAGGTTTCTTTGGAGATGGAATATTAAAAAATTGTATCTGAATAAAAAGCAGGAATGCAGCATGTGTCATTCTTAGATTCTTCCAACATAAGTAGAATATTACATTTGGAACTATCAAAACAAATGAGCGGAGAGAATTTGATTTAGAATAGGAAGTTATATTGAGTATTTAAGGGCAAGCTAGAGGCTAGAACCAGACTGCTTAGATTTTAATCCTAGTTCTGCCATTTAACTGAACGGCTATTGGTGAGTTACTTAACCACCTCTGTCTCAGTTTCCTCATCTGTGAAATGGCCATAATGATAGTAAGTACTCATAGGGCTATTGTGAGGATTAAATGGGCAAAATACATGTTAAAAACCTGTATAGTGCTTGGCAAGTGTGTAATGTAAATGTTAACATTTGCTGTTCTCAGTGGTTATTGCAAATTTCTAGTGTAATTTATAAGAAAATTGTCCTGACACTTAGAAATTTATATTGGAATATTTTGAGGACATTTTTCTAAAGGAAAATATTTCTTATATCCTTCTTAATTCAGGGAATTATTCCATGATACTTTTCTATTTTGATATGTGATTTAATTTTTAAGGTGGAACAGAAATTGTCACAGAGAGTGAGTACACCAATGGACATTCTGTAGCTGGAGTGCTTGACCAGAGCCGAATGCAGCGGGAGAAGATGGTTTACATGGCAGTTAAAGATTCTTCTCAAGAAGAAGATGATATTAGTAAGATATCAGTACAAGGGCACTGTGGTGACTTGTCAGTAGCCATCATGCATTCTTTAAAAAAATTAAGCAGTCTCAAAGCTACAAACACTATATAGGAACAAAGTTCAATAAAATTAAGTCTGAATTTTGCTGTAATTAATTTAAAAGGAAAATGTCCTTTTGACCATTCATGCATACGTGTATTGTTCAAATCAGCAAACATGAAATGCTATGTGTCTCAGATACTAAGGATATAGAGATAAACAACAAATGGTTCCTGACTTTATTAGAGCCCACAAATATATATGGAATTAGTGGGAATCTATTTTGTATGTTATTGGATATGTTGTATATACCTCCTCTCTGAGGTAGGTGGTATTATCTTTGTTTTATGAAAGGAAAAAATGCTCAGGGATGTTAAAAAATTGCCCAAGATCATTTCAATATTAAGTGAGGAATGTGCGGTTTCAAATTATATCTGTCTAACTCTACTGCCAGTGTTCTTTCCACACGGCAGTGAACGCTGTTGGCCTCTCTCTGGATTTAGCAGTGAACAGGCCAACTGGTTGTTTTCCTTCTGTCACCTAAGGATTAGATAAGTAAGTATTCTTCCTAATAAGTTAAGCTGCCAGGATCTTTACTTATTATGCCTTTGATGGTCTTCAAGTAGTTGCTGCTTAAGGTTTCTTGGGGCTGAGTACCATAGGGTAAAAATAACTACTCAGATTTCCTATCCAGCCATGCTGCCCTTTTCCTTATGAAGACATGTTCCTTTCTGCCTACTTTCTTCTCATCTCAGTGTAACAATGCAGCCCTTCCCTAAGGCTTCTTCTATCTTTATGACATGCTGAGATAAAAACTATCTATTTTGTTTTCCTCTAGAAGGGCAAGAGCCTCCACTTGAGTACATTACCTTGATGATACTCAGCTTTTCCTATACTGCACTCTGATCTCCACTCCTCAGATTTCCTTCCCTAGAAGCCATGGGAAGCTGAATTCCAATCCCAAACATGAATAATACACCACAGTTGAAAACATAAAAACAAGTAAATCTAGAGGATTTCATTGAAGAGGAAAATAATTTCTAGTTGGTCTCTAAATTGTTTATTTTTTTTTTTACTCATTGGTCACAATGAGAGGGGCACAATAGAAGGTGGGAGACTGAAGCTTAGGTTAGATGATGCCAGAATTCCTTGGGGATGTGGAAAACTTAGATCAGTGTCTCTTTCTTGTCAGTTGAAAGAAGGGAAACTTGGGAGAAGAGGGACACTTTTTCCCCACATTTTTTCCACATTTCTTCCGTGGTGACTAGAAGATCCCGGTATGTGAATCAAAGGAAAAGCATAAATTCAAGCCAATTTTTTACTTAACAGCTTAAATCTAAATGCGTTAAATCATATAAAATATGCTAAATGACCCTCTAGGTTTAAATTTTTTATACCAATATTATATTTTTTTAAAAATAAGCCTCATTTAATGCTTTTTTTTTCTGAAAATCCTGCCTCTTAAAGGGTGTCCACCTATTTGTGAGCACCAGCTTATGTGTGATTTTAATTAATTCAATCTAATTATTTTATTTAATATTTTCTTCAATTACTAGTGTTTTTGACTACTTTCTTTGCATGTACAGTACTGAATTTACATTACAGTATGTGGGATAGCAAGGACCACTTTCTAGTATTGATTCTGTGGGAAACGCTTTCTGAGTTCCAAAGAACAATCAGGCAGAATTATGGACCGAAACCTATTTTACAAATTTGTAATGCCCAATGGACTGTAAAATCAGTCAGCATATTTCAGGCGCACATGCTTATATATTATATATATATTATGTTATTACATATATATTATATATAATCTAAAAGTCATTTTCATAGGATAGGTTCTAAGAGGAGAATAAGAGTTTTGATAAATGATTGTCTCCTAGTGGCACTAGTCTCCAAAGTGCCTAACATAATTTTTAAATTAACCAAATTGAAATCTTGACATTTGAAAGATATAAACTGTTTGGAATTTTTTACCCATTTATTAAATATTTGGGGTTATAAACAAGCAATTATTTCTAAAATTTAGGTTGCGCTGAAATAGCAGATGAAGTTTACATGGAAGTCATTGTAGGGGAAGAGGAAGGAACTTCTCTCCCTGAGACTCAGCTTGAGGACTCTGATGTTAATAAAACAATTGTCCCTGTTGTCTGGGCTGCGGCATATGGTAGGACACTGGCATTTTTTCACCTGATAAGTACATATCTATTTGATCAGCCTTTAGATCATTAAATATGCTGTGCTAGTGCCCCCTATGAGTTGACTAATATTATAAAATGTTTTGCTGTGGACTGATTAATCTCTAGGTACTTACATGATTTTCCTACCATATATCTTATGTTACTTAAAATGAGCCTTGCTTAATGCATTGTTGTTTTTCAGTAGGATTTATTTAAAATCCTACCTGTATAAATGAGTACCAAAAAGTTTTATTTTTATAAAATAGGAATATCCTTTGAAAATTGATCCTTCCCTTTTTTCAAAAACTTATTTCATGTATTAACACCACAAAAAAATTTGGGGGGTTTGAAAAGAAACAGAAATCCAGGTATGCTCTTCTACAAAATACCTAATGGAAGGTAAATTTATCAAGTTTTTTTTTCTTTCACTTTTACCTCATTCTTACTTAATTTACAAGATGGTCCAGGTATACTCTTTACTTTGAAAATTTTTGGTGTTCAGATGCATTATCTTATCTTGGTTTATGGCCCAGGTATACTCTTTACTTTGAAAAATTTTCGTGTTCAAATGCATTATCTTATCTTGGTTTCTCCAAAGGTTCATTCATTCAACAGTCATTTATTGAGCATCTTCCGTTTTGAGTGTATTCTGCAGAAATATCTATTCGGTTTTTATTTAAAATGTAAGATTGTTCTGGATGTTAACAATTCCAAGGATGCTAACAGTAGCCCTTATTTTCAGTGCGTGAAATAATATCTAATCTATGGGAGTGGAAGAACTCAACAAAAAAAAATAATAACCCAAGGAACAGTGGTCAAAGTAAGATTTTTGTAGATTAAGATGTGATCCACTAGTAATCATTATACTTAACAATTCAGTTTTTAATTAGTCTTTTTTTTTTCTAGGAGATGAAAGAAGAGTTTCCCGGAGGTATGAAGATTGTCAAGCATCAGGTGAGAAAGCATTATATGTGAGATGTAAGTTAAATAGCCAGTTTCATATACTGCATGGAAAAGAAACAGTTATTTGTGTGTACAGACACATATGTTAGACTTCTACCTGGTCATATCTTATCTAGTTATATAGGAGTTTGCCTCTTTTGGGAATCAATTAATTTATATACAGATATAACGTGTGTTATTCTGCGAATGTAATTCATTTTAGATTTATCTCAAGATAAAAATGTTGGGCAACTTACAACATGAATCTTAAAGGATGCTGTGGAGAAAAATATAAAATAGAAGTTGTTTAGATAAAAAAGTAAAAATTTACAACTACTTGTAATGTATTCATTGGGCAGAACTGTTATCTTAATTTCTGTGGCAACCAATAGACATATATAACTGTTAAATAAAACCCATGTGTCAGCTTCGTTTTTCTTTTGAGCTATAATACATACTCCATATAGCATTATTCCATGGTTGATAGTTTTTTTTATCATGGTAAAATGTCGGACTCTTCTGTTCCTACCTTTAGGAGATACTTGACTCTAAATTTAAACGTAGATATCAGAGGAATTGATTAGAGTCATACATCAGCACAGCATATAGGCTAAATGGCTTCACTGGTATTTATTTATTTATTTATTTATTTATTTATTTATTTATTTATTTATTTATTTAGAGAGTGCAGAGGGAGGAGGTACAGAGGGAGAGGGACAAGCTGACTCTGCACTGGATGTGGAGCCCAACATGAGGCTTGGTGCAGGGCTCAATCTCACAACCCTGAGGTCATGACCTGGGCTGAAATCAAGAGTCAGATGCTTAACGGACTGTGTTGCCCAGGACAGGTCTACATTTTTAAGCTAAATTGCATGACAAAACAGATTTGTGAGAACTGAAATTTTATTAAGTACTTTATTCTCTATATGCTAATGCCACTGACTGTGGTAAATTGCCTGCCACATCTATCTTAGTCTTTACAATCAGTCTTAACTTTTTACATTAATTGAATTATTCTAAAGCATCTATATAAGAGACATATTGTTTGTTCCATATTACACATAGTCACCATAACCATATTGGTTCACTGACACATGTATATTTCTTTGCTGAGTTTCTTTAACTTCATCAGCTTTCATTGGTGAGAAATTAAATGATGCCAGTATTTTGTTTGGGCCATAGAAATCTCTCATGTCACATTCACCCTATTAATTTATTGCTTTAGGATAAATAAATTGAGATATTTTAAAGCTAATTTCACATGATATCCTAATTAAAGTGTTTACAGTTGTGTGTGTGTGTGTGTGTGTGTGTGTGTGTATAAGGGCATAAAAGAGAATACGATATACTTTGTGAAACTTAGCACCATGATGGCAACTTAATGCCATGTCATCTCTAGTAATTCATCTAACCAAAACCAAAAAGTATAAATGTTATGTAATTTAATAGTGTATCATTTTTTTCCAGGAAATACCTTGGACTCAACATTAGAAAGCAGAAGTAGTACAGCAGCACAGTACCTTCAAATTTGTGATACCATTAATACAAATAAAGTACTTAAACAAAAAGCTAAGAAGAGGAGAAGGGGAGAAACCAGGCAGTGGCAAACAGGTAAAATACTAATACTTTGCTTTATGATTATGATCATGATTTGAAATGTGGAAGTCATTTTTTTTGTAAGCAAAGGAAAAAATCAGTTGTTAGAGTGTATTCCCACTTCCATATACTTGTCTGTGTTTGATTTAATAGTTGAGTTTTTTAAAAAGTATTTTACTGGTCCCTAATAAAACTATGCTTGTTTTCTCTTTCCCCAAATGATGTTTACAAAGAGAATTTTCAGGTTGGTTTCACAATAAAAGGTGCCTGTTTCTGGTTTACAAAATGTATATAGCATTTTAGCAGGTGAGTATTCTATAGCACAGTGATGCTTATTACTTTTTAATGAGCTATTTTATAATAAGTTACTTTTAATGTGCATTTTATCCTACAGGATTTTATTCTACTAGTATAGTTCTCACACTATAAATGTCAGCTAATTTTGGTACCTTTGTTGTAAAACCCTTTAAAACATCTGGCCAAATGTCACAACTTCCTTTTTTTTTATCTAGCTGTTATAATAGGCCCTGATGGACAGCCCCTGACAGTATACCCTTGCCATATTTGCACAAAAAAGTTTAAATCCAGGGGATTCTTGAAAAGACACATGAAGAATCATCCTGATCATTTGATGAGAAAAAAATACCAATGTACAGATTGTGACTTTACAACTAACAAGAAAGTGAGTTTCCATAACCACTTGGAAAGCCATAAGCTTATAAACAAAGTTGACAAAACCCATGAATTTACAGAATACACACGAAGATACAGAGAGGCTAGTCCACTGAGTTCAAATAAACTTATATTAAGAGACAAGGAGCCGAAGATGCACAAGTGCAAATACTGTGACTATGAAACAGCAGAACAAGGACTGTTAAACAGACATTTACTGGCTGTTCACAGCAAGAATTTTCCTCATGTTTGTGTTGAGTGTGGGAAGGGCTTTCGACATCCTTCTGAACTCAAGAAACATATGAGAACCCATACTGGTGAGAAGCCATATCAATGTCAGTATTGTGTCTTCAGGTGTGCAGATCAGTCAAATCTGAAAACTCACATTAAGTCTAAGCATGGTAACAATTTACCATATAAATGTGAGCATTGTCCTCAAGCATTTGGTGATGAGAGGGAGCTTCAACGCCATCTGGATTTGTTTCAAGGACATAAGACACACCAGTGTCCTCATTGTGACCATAAGAGTACCAACTCAAGTGACCTTAAGCGGCACATCATATCTGTCCATACTAAGGATTTTCCTCACAAATGTGAGGTCTGTGAAAAAGGTTTCCATCGTCCTTCTGAGCTCAAAAAGCATAGTGATATACATAAGGGTAGGAAGATTCATCAGTGTAGGCACTGTGACTTTAAAACATCAGATCCATTTATCCTTAGTGGTCATATTCTTTCAGTTCATACTAAGGATCAGTCATTGAAGTGTAAAAGGTGCAAGAGAGGGTTCAGACAACAAAATGAGCTCAAAAAACATATGAAGACCCACACTGGAAGAAAGATCTACCAATGCGAGTATTGTGAATATAGCACTACAGATGCATCTGGCTTTAAACGACATGTGATATCAATACATACAAAAGACTACCCACACAGGTGTGAATTCTGCAAGAAGGGATTCCGAAGACCATCAGAAAAAAATCAGCATATTATGAGGCACCACAAGGAGGCTCTTATGTAATAAGATCAATATAAAGCTATTTCAAAAATAGGATATGCTACATGGGAGGAAAATTTCATGAACTGTTTCATCTAGTTCCAAAGCTTGATAGTAAATCATAACTTTACATTCTTTGTATTAGAGATCTTGAAATATTTCAATTGACAGGGGATTTCATTGCCCTTTGAAAATTACTTAAAGAATTTAAAAAGCACCATAGAATGGTTGCAGAAAAACTCTTAAGTGTCTATTTAATAGTATTATATGCATAATTAAACTACAGAAGGGCAAAGCAAAGACAATAACTTTATTTGGCTGATCATACTAGAGATAAATGTTTCTGAAAAGATCATATTTAGTTGAGTTTAGCAATGTTTTGCTGTGGCAAGCAAGTCTCACTTTTATGTGATTTTAGAAATGAGGTGGGGCAAGAAAATACAGTCATCCATCAGTCACTTAGTCATTGAGCCTTTTTTATGGCAACTGAAAATTGATTTCCAGAAATGACAAAAGTTTTGTGTATTCATTAAAAGAAATTTCGCTGGAAAACAGCTTATACTAATTCAATACTATTAAAGAGATTTTCAGAGCTGCTAAGATTTTATTACAAGATGGGATATTTAAAATACAGCATTCTTTGGAAGTCTAAAATGAAATCTAAGATTAAAGTTCCCTTTTTTCTGATGTTCAAGTTGATTTTTCAGTATGGCATATATGACAAAAGTATATTTGAGTCAGATGTGGCTTTCTAAAACAGATGCAACAGTAGTGTTGCAAATAAAGTTAGCACTATTTCTTTACGATCTAAAGATTAAATTGAGAGAACACAGTTTTCTTAAATATGATGTTTAGAAGTTTCTTTTTAGGGCAGTCTCAGCAAGTATGATTAGATAGTCTTACTTGCTTTAATGGTTAAAGGTGCAATTTTATGCCATTATTGAAAATTTTTATTTTTAAAATCTATATGCCATATTATTAACATGCATTTTCAATGTGAGGCAGCATAAATGCAGTATTTAACAAAACTGTGTTGCCAATAGAGTTTGGAGGTGGATATTCAGTTTACAGTGTATAAATTTAAAATATGCATCCTTTTAACAACGCTTTGTGTTAGCATGCTGCAACTCAAAATGGCGCTTAATATAAAAAGCTGGTTTAGGGAAATTTAATGAAAATCCTGTTCATAATTGTAATGCATATGATGTGTACTTTTAAGTTATAGTTGCTTCATGTTTACAATCAGCTGTTCAACATAATTAAAATGTAATTTTACTTTATACTATATTGTGGTTTTGTGTTTGAAGTAATGTTCACCTTTCTGTTTTTGCACCAGATAAGAATCTGTTCTTGAGAATAAATTTTTTATCTTTCTTAACTTCAGAATATTAAATTTGGAAAATTTTAAATAGTGTGTTATGTGGCTGTAAATGATGTACACGCTGTAAAATAAGATTGTCATTGTTATGTGGGATTATTATTTCTAAATGTTACTCATTGAAATGAGCATACAATAAAAAGCATTTATTGCACTTCAAGGTTTTATGAATTTATTTAAAGTTTGTTGTAATGTTCACTCTTTGTTAAAAGACTTTTTACTTAAAATTGCTTGTAAGTAATTTGGTCCACAATTTAATGTCTTGTAGATTTTGTGCATTAACAACATGAGCTAGGAACTTAAACAATTATGATGACTATGGCATGATTATTCCTCAAAATGTATATTTCTGCTAAAACCATGATGAAATACTGTAAAGGTGCTCATCTTAAGATTTGGGATTTAGTATTATAGAGAAAACTAAAAAATCCTAACCTAAGTAACACAGTCCTGAGAAAAGGAATCTAATTATGTTCCAAATAGACCAATATACATTCAAAAGGAGAAGCATTAAATCAAGTATTTGGGAAAGATTTCTGTAAGTGAGTGTAAAAATAACCTGCTATATTCATACCAGTCAACATTCAATAGAATTCATGTACCTAGATATATAGCCCTGTTGCTTAAAATTGTCAGTTGGGTTAATTATTCTTTAATGATCGCTAACAGTAAAAGAAGTCTTTTAGCCTTTGTATGTCAGACCAATGCTTTTTTTAAAAAAAAAATTTTTAATTTATTTATTTATGATAGTCACAGAGAGAGAGAGAGATAGAGAGAGAGAGAGGCAGAGACACAGGCAGAGGGAGAAGCAGGCTCCATGCACTGGGAGCCCGATGTGGGATTCGATCCCGGGTCTCCAGGATCGCGCCCTGGGCCAAAGGCAGGCGCCAAACCGCTGCGCCACCCAGGGATCCCTAGACCAGTGCTTTTTAAGCTTTAAGGTCTGTGGAGTTCACCTAGGGATCTTGTTAAAATACATTTTCTGATTTAGTATGTGTGAGATGGGGCCTACAATTCTGCATTTCTAGTAAGCTCCCACGTGTTACTACCATAGGGTTAACGTGTTAGACAGAAATACCCCAGTGTAATTCTGGTATGCTTTGGCAACTTCGCTTAAACAGATATCTATACCTAAGTGGATGGGGCAATCTGTACTGAAGACATGGGTAACATTAGTGACAAGAAGGAACCAGTCATATGTGGAAGAGCAGAAAAGCATGCAAATACAAATACAAATAACCTCAGATGGAACAAGCTTTGGCAGGACCATGGTGAAAGAGACTGACTGATAGATGAGAATTTGAAATGGGAAATCAGAGGAGTTTAAGGAAGGGAATAATATGATATGATTTACATTTTGAAGATCATTCTGGAGGTTACATGAGGAATGCATTGTAGAGAAGCTGAGAGAAGCAGAGAGCCATGTGAAGAGATTATTCCAGTTATTCATAGTTATAGTGTACCTGGAGAAAAACAGATGGATTTTCTTTTATTTATATTGGATCTAGAGGGGCACGTGGATGGCTCAGTCAGCTGAGCATCTGATTCTTAGGTTTTGGCTCAGGTCATGATCTCATGGGTTTTGAGACTAGCCTGCCCATAGGGCTCTGTGCTCAGTGCAGAGTCTGCTTAAAGATTCTCCCCTCTGCCCCTTCCCCAACTTGGACATGCACATGGTATTTCTCTCTCTCTCTCTCTCTCTCTCTCAAATAAATCTTTAAAAAAATAAATTGGGTCTAGAAAACCTCAGCTAAGATAAAACAGGTAAGAATTCAGCCCATGTTACAAACAATAGATTGTCTTAAAAAATACAGATTTTACCAGCAGGTCAAAGTGCCTTCACAAGGAGGAGAAACAATTTAGGAATTGCTAAAAAAATCATTTTTCCTAAACAGTTCACAATCATTATGTGGAGATGTATTTGTCTGATTGTCACTTCTAAATGGCCTATGCCATGATATAGAGGAAAGTACTGGAATTGTTACTCAGATAGGGCTCTCCAATTCATGTCTCATAGAGGACAACTACCAGTTGAACCTTGAATTGCCCTTAAAGATATGTATGGCATATATGTGATATGATAGGTAACTTTTATTGCAGAAAAATTTCAACCATATAAAAAAATAAAATATAGTGAAGCCCTATATAGCTATCACCCACCTTCAATAATCATGGCAAATTTTGACTCATTTACATTCTTCCTCACTCTTCCCTTCACCCACCTACCTCTGATTGGTTTAATCCGAAGATTCCCCTTCTCCCAGTGGTTTAATTTGAAGTAAATCCCTGAAACTTTTTAAAAAAGTTTTTAAGGAAGATACAGCACAATTCTTAAATATGCCTACTTCCAGGAAAAAAATTACTCACCTTCCATGAAGGTAGAGGAACACAAGAATCCTCTTCTTCAGATCTTCCTATTTCCCCTTGTGAAAATCAAGAAAAAACTGACTAGACTTGGAATTACATTCAATAAGTTTCTTAGGACTAATACAGCTTTGCTTAGAGAAAATGCAGAACTAAACTAGAACCCTAGGATATTATTGGATTAGAGAATCTTCCCAACTTTGTTCAGCTCCATCCTGTCCTTCCAAAAGAATTAGCTTTGTAAATTTGATACTGTTTAAGAAAGGCCTCTTAAATCCTTGGATCTATAATAAGAAGTGGGTATTGTTAATTCAAACTTGGAGGCCTCACAGAAGAAATTCTATAATTACTAGGGTTAAGGCTCTAGTACTAGATATCCCAAATTAAACATATTTTCGTATGTCTTGCTCCAGTTGCTATGCCTTTCTCTTGAGCATTGTCCAAGTAACTATTCCAAAGGAAACTCTGCTCCATTTTAAAATCTGGACCAATTGGCAATATTGAAACTATCCCATTTAGCTCATGTTATGTCCCAGTCACCTCCCATCTGAGCCGCAAACCCTGTCATCCTAGATCTCAGTACCATCTACCCATCATAACATGACTGGCTCATGAAAACACTTTAGGGAACCATCTACAAAAGCTTATATATTCCTCCATTTTAAGAAATTGGTCTCTTTTGTTATATCTCAGCACATGTGAGCTAGGTAGGAGTGTTTAAAACTGATTGTGTTAGCATACCAGTTACTGAATCAAAGCATATTGCAAAGTATCTTTAACATAAAGGATGTATGGAACATAAACTTTAATAATGAAATTATTTTAATGTAATAAGATGGGAAACCAAATATAAAAACCCTGGACTTAACAAAATCTCATCTACAGGAGACCAATTAAAGAAGATTATCAAGACTGCCTGTTTATCACATAATTATGTTATATAACAATTCTTTGTCGACTCAAAGGAAGTATGTGTTATTTTGCCACTAAATGTTAAAGGTTTTATTAAGACATGTAATTATTTATTGCATTCTTTATTTAAAAAAATAGTATTGGGGCACCTGGGTGGCTCAGTGGTTGAGCGCCTACCTTTGGTTCACATCATGATCACAGGGTCCTGGGACTGAGTCCCACATCAGGCTCCCCCAGGGAGTCTGCTTCTCCCTCTGCCTATGTCTCTACCTCTCGTGAATAAATAAAATCTTTAAGAATAAAAAGATTAGTATTTACTATCCTAGGATGAGCATGAAATACTTTATTATATTTTTTATTGAACAAAAGGTACTATGGGAATTCAATAAATTTAATAATGGTGTGTGGTGGGGTAGAGGTAACTTGTTGAGAAGTCTTTTCACAGCTTATTTACTTTCAAAAGAATTATGTCTACAGGTCATCTCTGTAGATTACAGTAATGGAAGAAGCGAAAAGGGCTTTTTGTTAGGGTGATCTAAATTAAGTTGTGAGATGAAGGCTTATTTTTTTCCTTTTGTACTGTTTGTGTTAAGAAACCATATTACAGTTAAAGCATCATTCATTATAAGGATGGGAAGAATGATTTACGGAATCCTATTTGAAACAATGAGTTACGGAACTTGGAAGATTAGGTTTATAAGCAAAGAAATTCTCATTTAAAGCAGACCTGGGGTGCCTGGGTGGTTCAGTGGGTTAAGCATCTGCTTTCAGCTTTCAGCTTAGATCATGATCCCAGGGCTTTGGGATCGAGCCCCACATCAAGCTCCCTGCTTAGCAGGTAGCCTGCTTCTCCCTCTCCTGCCTACCGTTCCCCCTGTTTGTGTTTGCTCTGTCAAATACAATTAATTAATTTTGTGAAAATAAATAAAGCAGAAACCTGCATCAGCCAGATGTCCATCTATGTTACATACAGTGTTAGCTCTAGTAGTCCTCATCAGACATTTTTTAAAAATATTGGAGTGGTGCTTCTTAGTTCTAACATAAACATTAACATGATAATAACTTCCTGATGAAAATATACAGCAAAGCTAAAAATGTTTCTTACTAGGACTTCCATAAAGACCATACAGATACTTCATATATTTTATTTAGAAACTTAAACAAATTACCTTGCATGTAATTGCACAGTCTCCATTTCATTTGATATCTAAAGCAAAACATACTGGAATAGAAATTAGATAAACAGATATTTCTCACTTGACAATATCTTTGCAATTTTCAAAGATAAGCTATGTGAAACTTGTGAGAGGAAAAAACCACCGCTATTTTTATTGAGCTTAACCACAAATTGGAAAAGGAATACATACATTTAAGTTTGTTAAGTATAATGAGCACCTTGTTACAATACCCATTCAATTATGCATGGATCAAGTGAATCACTGAGCTGTTAATTTCTTAATTGCCCCAAATTTTGGACATTGTTATTTTTATTTAAGAAAATTTTGGAAAATCACATTTGTTTTCATTTTCAAACAGTTATGACAACAGTTTTCTATCAGGCTACTAAAAACTTCCATTTATATATCATATGTAATGAGTAGATAATTTGGTATAATTTTGTTACAGTTACATGCATGTGTAGTTAGCAGAAGAAAAACTGCCATGTTGTTCCTATACCAAGGGGGAAAATGTAAGGACTATATAGCTCAGGAAGAATATTAACATTTTCTATCACAAAATATTGATAAAATTGGAATTGTTTTAATCCAATTATGGAGCTTAACATTTTAGTCAAAATATTAAGATAATAAAATAAAGCTCTTAGCTTCATATCAAGACCTATTTGAATATTTGTATAAAAGTATTAAAAGCATATATCTCCTCATTTATAGCTTGATTTAGTGTAATGCCTCATCCATTCCTATCTTAATAGTTTCTTAGTATAATGAATAATTATTAAAATATAATTGTAAGGCATGACAATACTATATAGATATCTAGAGATATTTCATGCAAAGCCTCAATCACATGTAAACCAAATATATTTATTGTTTTAATCTGTACTTTGTCAAATGGAAACATTTTAATTTTCACCAATTCTTAATTTTAACCATAGGATTTGAAATTAAGAAATTTCATTCTTATCTACTCATGTATTTGGAAAATAGTTTTGTTCACTTTGCAGAGTCATTAGAACCCAGTTAATCAACCAACTTCTAAGTGCATTGCATACTATAAAATCTTTTTCTCCCAAATAGGATACAAGTGTCAAGTATTTGTTCTTGTTCTTATTCTCTAAACCTTACGCAAAAATTCAATGTAACATGTTGTATACTTCTATAAAAAAGTCCACCTTCCTTCTATCCATTCCTACAATATAGTATTACATATTTTTAAGGAAGTGAGTGGGCTCATTTGAAGATGATATACTTCAAAAGAATAGATTTGCCAAGCCAAGCCACTGATATGTTCTTAGAACCATAATAGTATACTATGTAATTTAGTGGACTTAGTTATTTTAAAAAATATTATCCTACTTCCCCGATAAATGAAATTACCCATCACCTGTGATTTAGTTATATCTCTGAAAGGTTTAAATAGCATGTAATAGAGCATCTCTTTTAGTCATGAAGTTTAATGTAAGAAAAGCAAATATATGCTATATATACAATGTAGTGAACTTTTTAAAAACTCAATAATTCTTGCCTCTTTTTGGGGGGTTAAAAAACAGTATTTATGTTTGTAGCTGAATTGCACATTTAATATCAGAGAAAATCTTCCAATGGAATAATTTGTAAAATCTCTACTCCAACAAATTAGTTCAGTGTCTAGGAAGCACCCTATTGAAAAACAGTGGATTATGTTCTACAGTGTCTGGAATTGGAGTTTAAACAATGTGTTGCTATATTGAATACAAAAATGTAATAGAAAGGCCTGGTAGTGGCTGGAGAAACTGTCATCTGCAGAACTAATTCATTTCATTAGATTCACTGAGTAGTAGCATGGTTCAAAATATTGATTGGCCTTTAGTAATGGAAAATAAAGTACTAATGTAGACACAAAAGCTCCTTTGATTTGGAGGTCCATTCATGGCTAGAAAAGAAAAAGAAAGTTAGTTTACAACTGGTTCATAATTCATTTAAGATATTCTTATTGTATGTATACAATTATATAAAATGATTTAAATATATATATATAAAACCAAAGGAAATGTACTGTATTTTGTGGTAACTTTTACATGTATATTCAGTGAAACAATGGTTTATCTGACTTTAGTCAAAGTATATGTTTCAATTACTGAAGGGAAGATTGGGTAGACTTCTTACTTGGTGTCTTATTTAGAGGCTAAATATGTCCAAACATATCTGTTAACAAATATAGATTTATCATCTGTGAACTTACTAAAATAAATATATTTTGAATTTCCTTTCAGTATCTAGTCCCCTTCAGATATCAAGTTTGATGTTTATTGCTGCACATTTTTAACAGAGAGAGAAATAATGACTACTATTCTGTAGCCCCTTTATTTGGCAAGTTCTCACATTGATGCACATGTGGTTAGTAGCAGTTGTTGCTTCCCAGTCTTAAATTTCAGTATCAAATCTCTGAGTGACAAATTTTAAATCCTATGCTGACTTTCCCTTGCTGTCATCTGCCTCTTAGGCCATCAAGTACCCTTTATCATTTGATTGACATAATTATCTGTTAATGGCCTAAGAAACACAACATATGTCAAAGCTCAAATTATTTGGGGGGGAAAGTTTCCAAATGTTGGTTGCTTTCATTGAAAACAGGTAACCATATAATCAAGATTGATGGCTTGATTGTAAGTAGAGAAGGTCTTCAGAGATAAAAACTTTTTAAATTTTTTGTTTATGCAAATATTTCAGCTTATTCAACTAAAATATCATTTTTAGAGTGAGTTATTTAACAGACTTAATTTTATTAACTATACATCTGCAGTAATTTATTAACAATGTCTGCAGTGTTTTATTAACTATAAATCTGCAATTTTAAAATTTCTTCAAAAGGTTTTGCAGAGGGCAGGCCGGGTGGCTCAGCGGTTTAGCGCCACCTTCAGCCCAGGGCCTGATCCTGGAGACCAGGGATCGAGTCCCACGTCAGGCTCCCTGCATGGAGCCTGCTTCTCCCTCTGCCTGTATCTCTGCCTGCCTCTCTCTCTCTCTCTATCTCTCTCTATCTCTATCTCTATCTCTCTCCTCTCTGTGTCTCTCATGGATAAATAATTTTTTGAAAAAAAGGTTTTGCAGAATAATTGACATCTGCATATTTATCTAGTGCTCCTCAGAGTATAGACATTTTAAAACTTATTCACATGTAATAAACCTATAGAAAAAGTATACATGTAAGTATACAACAATATGAATTTTTCCAAACTGAACATACATATGCAACCATTACCCAGATCAAGTAACAACACATTAGCACCCTAGTAGCCCTCCTAGCACTTCCTTCCAATCAGTACCTGCCCTCAAAGATAACCATCTTTTGATTTTAATAACCATAAATTAATTAGTTTTACCTGCTTTTAGTATTTAAGCAGTTTTTAACATAATGAAGTCTGTCATTTTCAATGTTAAAGTCAGATTCTGTGTTGTTTTAGACCTGTGATTCTCAAAGTTTTTTATGTTCATTACACTTGAGGGATATCATATATTCCCATCATTATCAATGGTTTACTGTTAAAAATCCTTTGGCAGTAGTGTAGGAGTATACAATTAAGAAGAAAAGACTCCAAGGTGATTTTGTCATGTTAAGATTTCCCAGCCCTCAGCAGTATTAATATTTTGGCCTAGACAATTCTTTGTTGTGAGAGACTGTCCTATTTGTTGTATGATCTTTAGCAGCATTCCTGGTTTTTATCCACCAGATGCCAATAGTACCCATTCCCCAGTTGTGAAAACCAAAAATGGCTCCAAACATTGCTAAATGTCCCCTCGGGGGCAAATCTGCCCCAATAGAGAGCCACTGCACTAAGATGAATATATCCTATTTGATGATTAAAGGTTAGCAGGACCATAATTAGACAATAAGTAGAAGTTTTAGTAACATTGATTCCTTTTTAGGAAGAGGGTTTTAGTAACCAGCATCACTTAGCAATGTATTGGCCTACTTACAAAGATGCTAAGGTCCATGTCACTTGGTCATTTTGGAGGATGTTATAGAAGGGAGATATTAGAGTACATGACAAAGTATTCTTCACCAGCTTCACTATAACTGTGGGATTTAAAGCTGGAGGATCTTACAGTCAATTGAGAAAGACACACCTCCTTGCTTTCAAAATACTGAAAATTTTCTATCTATAGTAATAAGTACCACATTCAAGACTGAAAGACAAATTCTATTAAAACATGCCTATTCTCCATACACTATCCTTCATAATTGTCTATAATATTTTCTACCTGCTTTAGAAAAAATGAAGGTTTTTTTTAATTGAGTAGAATCAGTTCAAAAAATATTATATTACCTGTATATGAATCATTCTAAAGTTTCTTAATTCATACTAATATCAGTAAGGAAAACCTGGAGAAATCTTTAAGAGAAAAAATGAACTGGAAGATTGGAGTTCACTTTGATAGTTTATCACATTTTTGAAGGTTGTTATATATAGAATATATGCAAATTTCTATTCTTAATAGAACTAGAAATACACAAAAGAACTTACACAAGTCCATTTGTCTTCTGTTTTCTCAATCACAATAGTCTGTGTGTCTCTACCTGGTGGTATATATTCATAGTCATCATAAAGGAGGCCTAGGATTGGATATTGTGTCCTATACCTATACAGAAAAAAAGTTAGTTTACCAGCTGCACAAAAAAAATGACTCTCATTCCTTTTTAGTGACTCCTAGTTTGATTCTCCATATTAAGTTAAATTGGCTTTGAATGACTTTTAGCTCTAAAAAGAAAATACCTCTTAATGTATGAAGCTTTACTACTATTATTTTCAAAAGCATGAGCAAAAAGTATGTCTGCTTTTGCAATTATGGACCACTGGGAGCATAAGACAATGATCCTGGAGAAGAGAACCAAATGACATGAGCCCTATAAGTACCTAGCTCAATACTTAGGAATTTTTTTGGTCACAGGATAGGGAAAGAGCCACATAAATCCCTTCAGTCTCACAAAGTTGAAGTGACAGGATTTCAAGTAAAGGTATGCCAAAACAGCCAGTGTGGGGCAGAACACCAGACAGGAGAGAGCTACACAGATAACAGAAAAGAGACTTGTAGAGTGTTCTCCACAAGTCTTTAGATGAGTACTGATTAGTGTAGGCATGTGGGAAAGCTACTAAAGCTGGGGAAAGAACCATTGGAAAGAGCAGCCTGGAAATCCACTAACCAGAATGGAAAGACCTCCTAATGCAGGGAGTGTCAGGAAGAAACTACAAAAGAATATTGTATTAGTATTGGAATGACATTAGTCCTAGACTGCAGGTTTTAACAGTTTAAGTGCAAGATCTGCAAGTATTAAACTGTATCCAAGTAATTTCACCTCAGAATAAAACCACAGAATATTTGCAGTGAAGCAAAAATATTCAGAACTCAAGTTGTAAAATTATAATATATGGCATTCAATAAAAAATTGGTAGAAAAGCAATGAAGCAGGAAGATATGGTTAATAATGAGAAAAAATTAGTAGAAACAGAACAAGGAATGACAGATACAAGAAATAAGTAGTCATGGTTGCATCTATTAAAAATATTTTTAATGTATATTCAAGAAGTTAGAGGAAAGCATGAATGTGATGAGAACAATGGAGGATATAAAGATCTACATTGGACTTCAAGTAAATAAAATCAGGAAAGAAATAAGTAACAACTGACACCACAAAAATAGAAAGCATTATATAGAATACTATAAAAAATCTAGGCCAAAGTATTGGACAACCTGGAAGAAAAGGATAAATAAATACCAAGAAACATACAATATTCCAAAACTGAATGAAGAAGAAATAGAAAATCTGAACAGATTGATTACTAGTAACAAAATTGAATTAATTTTCAAAAAAATGTCTAGTGGGTGCCTGGTGGCTCAGTCAGTTAAGCATCTGACTTTTGATTTCATCTCAGGGTTGTGAGATCAAGACCCACATTGGGTTCTACATTGGTATGGAGCCTGCTTAAAGATTCTCTCTCCCTCTGCTACTCCCTGATTCACTCTCCCTCTCTCTATCCCTAACTCTCTGTCTCCCTCTCTAAAAAAAAAAATCAAAGAAAATAAATAAAAAATTAAAAAGGTGAATTCTACCAGTTAAAGAATTATGGAGATGAGTTACAATGGCAGAGGAGTAGTAGGACTCTAAGTTGGCCTCATCCCTTGAGTACAACTAGATAGATATCAAATAATTCTAAATATAGGAGAAATCAATTGGAGGCACAAGAAAACAAATACTGCAAGTCTATAAGTAGAAAAGGAACCACTATTTGGAAGGTAGGAGGTGCAGAGACTTGAATCATGTGGATATAGCTGAGGTTAAGACAGAAGGGAGGAAGGTTGATTAAGGAGGCTACCACAAATCATTATAAGCAATGGACTACAGAATTGGAACTTTCAGAAGTCTGATACAGTGGGGTACATGCCTGGCTTAATGGTGGGGAAGCAGAGTAGAATCCCAGATGTGACATCATGGTTTGAAGATCTCCTGGGTCACAAGAAGAATTGGTGGCACCTAAGTGTGGCACTGTTGCCAGGCAAAGGAGCATGGAACCTGGCTGAGAACAACAAATCTAGGTGCCTGCTTTCTGCTCTGTGTTGCCATAAACTTTGAACCATATAGTTGTGCCACCACTTTCCTGGGAGAGCTCCAATAAAAGGCAGAAATATGGCCAGACACTCCCTGGGAGGAGTAGTTCTGGTCTGCACCATGGTAGTCCCTAAAATTTGGAGTTTTGTAACAGGTAGGATGAACACAGAGCTCTGATGGAGACTGGGGAGACAAACAAGAGTGATTGCTCTTCTGTGAGGGCTCACTGAAGAGTAGGGGGCGAGAATTTTCAGCTAATGCTGGAAAGCAAGGTGCATCAATATTCATCCTGTTGATCATAGCATAGACCGCTGTGCTATGAAACTTGAGGTCAACCACAAGAAAAATTTTGGAAGGACCATGAAGGTTAAAGAACATCCTACTGAATACATGAAGGTTAAAGAACAAATACATGACAATTAAAGAACAAAAGAACATCCTACTAAAGAATGAATGGGACATCCAGGAAATGAAAGTAGAATTAAAAAAACACATGGAAGCAAATGAAAATGAAAACATGACAGTTCAAAGCATTTGGGATGCAACAAAAAGCAGTTCTAAGAAAGAAGTATATAGCAGTACAGGCCTGCCTCAAGAAGCCAGAAAAGTCTCAAATACACAACCTAACATTACACTTAAAGGAGCTTGGAAACGAACAGCAAATAAAGCCAAAATTCAGCAGGAGAAGAGAAATAATAAAGATTAGAGCAGAAATCGGTGACATAGACATCAAAAAACCAGTAGAATAGATCAACGAAACTAGGAGGTGATTCTTTGAAAGAATCAAGAAGGTCAATAAACCTCTAGGCAGTCTTATCAAAAAGAAAAGACCCAAATAAATAAAATCATGAAAGAAAGAAGAAAGACCACAAACAACACAGAAGAAATTCAATTATAAGAGAATATTATGAAAAATTATATGCCAAAAATTTAGGCAGTCTGGAAGAAATGGATAAATTCCTAGAAATATATAAACTGCCAAAACTGTAAGAAATAAAAAACCTGAACAGACTCATAACCAGCAAAGAAATTGAAGCAGTAATCAGAAATCTCCCAACAAACAAGAGTCCAGGGCCAGATGGCTTCCCAGAGGAATTCTACCAAACATTGAAAGAACAATTAATACCCATTCTTTTGAAGCTGTTCCAAAAAAGAAAGTGGAAGGAAAACTTCCAAACTCATTCTGTGAGAGTAGCATTAATTTCATCCCCATACCAAAGTCCCTACTGAAAAGGACAATTATAGACCAATATCCCTGATGAACATGGATGCAAAATTCTCACCAAGATACTAGCTAAGAGGTACCAGCAGTACATTAAAAGGATTATTTACCATGAACAAGCAGGATTTATTCCTGGGCTGCAGGGGTGATTGCACATCTGCAAATCAATCAGTGTGATAAACCACATTAATAAAAGAAAAGGCAAGAACCATATGACCATTTCAATAGATGTACAAAAAGTATATGACAAAATACTGCATCCATTCTTAATAATGAACCTTCCCAAATGTAGTGATAAAGGGAACATACCACAACATCATAAAGAGTATAAATAAATGACCCACGGTGAATATCATTCTCAATAGGAAAAAACAGAGCTTTCCCCCTTAGGTCAAGAACATGGCAGGGATATCCACTCTCACCACTGTTGTTTAACATAATACTGGAAATCCTAGCCTCAGCAATCAGACAAAAAAAAAGAAGAAGAAAGAAAAGAAAAGCCATCCAAATCAGTAAAGAAGAAGTCAAACTCAATTTTTGCAGATGACATGATACTCTATGTAGAAAACCCAAAAGATTCCATCATAAAATTGCTAGAACTGATACAGGAATTCAGCAAAGTCACAGGATATAAAATTAAGACACAGAAGTCTGTTGCATTTCTATATACTAACAATGAAGCAGAAGAAAGAGAAATCAAGGAATTGATCCCATTTACAATTGCACCAAAAATCATGATACCTAGGAATAACCTAACCAAAGAGGTAAAAGATCTGTACTCTGAAAACTATAAAGCACTTATGAAAGAAATTGAAGAAGACACAAAGAAATGGAAAAACATTCCATGTTCATTGATTGGAAGAACAAATATTGTTAAAATGTCTATGGTACTCAAACCCATCTAAACATTCAAAGCAATCCGTATCAAAATACCACCAGAATTTTTTGCAGAGTTGTAACAAACAATTTTAAAATTGTGTGAAACCAGGAAAAAAACCGAATAGCTGAAGAAATGTAGAAAAAGAAAATCAAAGCTGGAAGCATCACAATCCAGACCTTAAGCTGTATCACGAAGCTGTAATCATGAAGACAGTATGGTACTGGCACAAAAACAGACAGATCAATAGAACAGAATAAAGATCACAAAAATGGACCCTCAACTGTATGGTCAACTAATCTTCAACAAAGAAGAAAAGAATATCCAATGGGAAAAAGAGTCTCTTCAATAATTATGTTGGGAAAATTGAATAGCCACATGCAGAAGAATAAAACTCAACCACTTTCTTACACTATACACAAAAATAAACTCAAAACGGTTGAGAGGCATAAATGTGAGACAGGAATCTTTCAAAATCCTAAAGAAGAATACAAGCAGCAACCTGTTTGACCTCAGTAACAGCCACTTCTTGCTAAACACATCTCCAGAATCAAGCAAAAGAAAAGCAAAAATGAGTTATTGGGACTTCGTCAGGATAAAAATCTTTTGCAGAGTAAAGAAAACAATCAACAAAACTAAAAGGCAACCTACTGAATGGGAGAAGATATTCACAAATAACATATCAGATAAAGAGCTAGTACCCAAAAATCTGTAGAGAACATTTCAAACTCAACACCCAAAAATGAAATAATCCAGTCAAGAACTGGGCAGAATACATGAACATTCATTTATCCAACGAAGACATGCAAATGACTAACAAATACATGAAAAAATGCTCAACATCACTCAGTATCAGAGAAATACAAATCAAAATCACGGTGAGATACCATGTCACACCAGTCAGGATGGCTAAAATTAACAAATCAGGAAACAAT